TATATATATATATATATATATATATATATATATATATATATATATATACACACAGGGTGTCTCAAAATTTTAACACCTACTCCATAGGGGCGTAGAGCTAAGCGAGAGGATCAGAAAAGTTCTCTTCCATTTAGTGATAATGCGTCTAATTTGTTAGTAATAACCGCATAAAGTTTGACGTTTGTTACACTCATGGCGTTTGTTACACTCATGGCGACCTATAGACGCTTCGCGGCGAACTGTGTGTATCGAGGCTAAGTACGGTAATAACGCGGCTCGCGCTGACCGCCGCGATGGCGTCTTGACGCTTTGACGCTGCCAGCGCGCGGCAAGGCGACGATGAACACGCCGTGTTACCGCTTAACTTCGACACACACAGCTTGCCGCGGAGCGTCTATAGGCCGCGATGGGCGTGACAAACGTCAAACTTTTTGCGATTATTACTAACAAACTAGACGCGTTATCGCTAAATGGAAGAGGACTTTTCTGATCCTCTCGCTTAGCTCTACGCCTCTATGGAGTTGGTGTGTTACAATTTTGAGACACCCTGTATAAGAAGTAGAGGAATGACTCGGCAATTAGGAAAATCTGAGAAGCAAGTCAAGGACGAAGTAAAAGCCAATATATTGACGATGGGATCATTGCGAAACAAAAAGTATCTCCGGAAATTTTTCAAAACATTCGACGTAACTAATTTGACTCCTTGTCGACCGTGAAAGTGGAAATTCCACTTACACTGCTGGCAAAGATTCAATTTGGTTGAAATAAATATTCTTCTAACAATATACTAATTGGTATATATTGTTGAACAGTATAATAATCGGTAATAATATTGTTGAATAATAAGCGCATTGTGTCATTCGGAAATGATCGAAGCTTATGCAATCCGGCATTTTTTACAGTTTACTCGATATCAAAACATTCCAAAAGCGTTATCCTCGACATTTCGACGATACATGTATTTAATACGCGAAGAGGAAAGCGGTGTGTAAGACTTTGCGGAAGAGAAAGGTCATCAGGACGTGTGCATGCGTGTGTGTAATTCTATTCAATCGCACCGATAAGACTAAGGGAGGGAAACGTGAATGTTTTTTTCTTCAACAACGACCGCATTCGCTTTCGGTATTCGCAATCGCATCTCGATGAAATGAAAGTTGTAAATAATAGAACACTAGTAATATATACTTGTACATCCGACACACGACATTATGTAAAACATTCCATAGAGATTTATTGCGATAGATCAAGCCGTACTGTGCAATATGGAATTAACATTTCCTCTGATTTTAGAAACTTTAAGAGATTGTCTCAGTTGACAGCAAACATTGGTTCCATATTGCTTAAAGCGATTGCTTCTTCGCGTATTTTGTCGCCAGACGTATCGTATGTTTGAGTAGCGCGTGTACTGAAGGTCTGACCTTGATTTATCTATTAGAAGATACTGACAATAGTCCCATAAGATTATTGTACAGATTTACGTCCGTTTTGTGCAACTTGGGCGAGCAATTAATGTTAATTTTATACACACACATCGGCAACTCGATTATATATTCTATATTGATAGAAAGAGATATTACGGTTGTTAGATGAACATAACGGATATAGTTGGACGTAAAGAGCAATCGCTATTTATAATCTAATTTTACGTATTTTAACGGACAGCTATAAAATATTAGTTGTAGCTTTATATATTTAGCTGAATTTTCTGCGATTACGTATTAACTTACAGTATTCTTGACATAATCTCTCTTGTTATTGCAATCAGTATAACTAGTCATTGTGATCGTATTTGAAGTTGTACCATTGTTAATTTGATAGCGGTAAGATTCCATTTTCCTTCATATTTTCGCGAGATTATTCATAACATACTAAAAAATCTATTTTCTCAGTTTTAAAGCTGCATACCGAGAAGAGAGAAAATGAACGTCCCGTCACTCTTAAAAACAGTGCTTCTGCTCAATGATATGTTCATCATCATCGTCGTCATCCTCATCGTCATCATCGTTGTCGTCATCGTCGTCACCGTTGTCACCGTCGTCGTCGTCACCGTCGTCATCGTCGTTTTGTTGCAATAATGCACAATTGGAGATTTGTACGCGATTATACATCAGCAAGTACATCTTACTTACGCCGGTCAACAAAGTGTACGAGTGATAAAGTAATGCTTATCGAATATCTGAAAGGCATGTACAAAATATATCAATTTCAACTCGCACTCGCGTGGATAGCGTCACAGTGGCGATGTAACGGGCATAATCTGATCGCGCCTTACGCAGCTGTCACACATTTTCTTCTTCATTTTTGTATCCACGGG